GCCCAGCGGTAAGCAGCCGGAGGAGCCCCAGCGCTAGGCCGGCTGCGAGGCAGCGGCGGCCAGCCTGTGCCGGGGCCGCGGTCCCGCAGCCCGGCGGGGCGGCGGGGCCCGTCCTTCCCTCCACGCAGCGACTCTCCTTCCCTGCTCCGCACAGGGCGACCTGGGGCCGGGGCCACCGGGGCCCTGGTGAAATAGTGCCGCGATCCAAGGGATATTTTTTTTATTATTACTTTATTTACTTTGGTATAGGCTGGGGTGTGCTTTTTATTTTTCCTCTTCTTAGTGTCCTGTTTTGAAAGAGCCTGTCATGACAACTCCAGAGCCCCGTAACACAACAGGCAGGGGAGGGGGAGGGAGGGAAGGGGAGACTCTGGTCCATCCTTGCTGCATAGTCCCACATCCCACCATCGGCCTGGCCTGGCCACGCACATACTGTTGCCTACAACTCTAGTTGCTGCATTGATTTTTTTATTTTCATTGCTGGGTTTTGTTTTCTTGCACTTACGGAGAACGCAGGGGCCATTAGGCGTATGGTACGTGAGGAGTGCAGTGTCTTATCCACACATGTCCGTATAGTGTACGGTTCAAATACTTTTTTTTGGTAGAGACTTATTTTTGTTTGGATTAAATGTTATAAAAGAACCGCAACTTAAAGGGACATTTTGCCATGACCATTTCATTCTGGTGTATCCTCCTCCAGTAAAGCAACTATCAATTGCTGCTTGATCACCACGTTTTCCTTTTTGTGTGCGCAGTTAATTACAGGTAAAGACTTATTTTTTGATTCATAATGTCCTCTTGTGTTTTCTAAGTCACTACCAAGGTGCACCACATGGTGAGGGAGAGGGGAGGGAGAGAGAGGTTGCCTCATCACTGAGAGCTGTTAATTATTTCTCCTAATTACTTTGCTGAACCTAGATTAGACTACTAACTGTAGACAATGAACAAAGCCTGAGTGATATATTAAGCACTGGTCTTGTGTGGAAAGGCCATTTCCAAATGAGCCTGCGGCAGGAGAAGCCTGGGTAGCCCAGGGATGCTTCTCCAGGGGGACCTCAGCTGCCCAGCCCCACTGCAGCACCCCAGAGCTGGTGCCATGATACACCTTTGCAGAAAAAGCTATTTATTTTGAATACCTTCAAGCAGCCGGAGCCTGGGACTTCAGTATAGAGCTCACAGGGAGTAGATCAACTCATTTAAGGCTTATAAACATGCCGCTATCAGAGGAAGTGTTTGCAGTCAAGCACATAAACGAAGGCAGGAGAAACCAGAGACAAGCAATGATGTAACTCAGTCAGAACAACGGGAATGTCACGAACACAAGAGCTTTAATTTTGTCATGTCCAAAGATTTGCCAAACCAGGAGCTGATTGAGTGGAGGATAAAAAGGCGGGAGAGACCCGCCACCTCCAGCACATTCAGTTCTGGGCTAGTTCTCTTGACAAGGGAGCAGCCCTCGGTCACCGCCCCAGCTCTACCCAGCCCGCTTGCTCCCTGAGCCAGCCCAGGAGCCCCACATAATCCCGCCTTGAGCCTCCACTGGCATTTCCAGGTCTGGTGTCCTTGCCAGAGTGCTACTCCAAGAGCTTCTCTATCAACGTCTGTTCTGTTTCAGCGCTCGGTCTCCATGCTCCTGTCCCTACAGCCCATCCTGCTCAGCTGGGGCCGGTGCTGGGAGCAGCCCAAGTTTCAAAAGTGCAAGAGCCTGCAGCGTCTTCCAGCCTGACACTGCAGATACTGTGCACGCAGCCAGCGCCCCTGAAATGCAGCCACCTCCACGGAGAGGGGGGACAGTGAACTCGTACTTTGAAAAAGGAGAAGAAAACGGGAGCGAAGGTGCGAGAACGGATATTGCCACATCAAAGAGCGACACAAATCTGGTGCACGTTTTGAGCAGCATTTAACATCACAGAGGCAGGTCACAGGACTTAGTTAATCCACCATAAAATAAATGAGGGTTAAACTCACCCTGCTGAGATCAGATCTTTGAGGGAGCGGGCTGGCACAAGCATTGCCTCCCTTTCCTTAATGCAGTCGGTTGCTGTCTGTTGGTATTGACGCTCGCTCTTTCTTTGTACTTTCTGACTGCAATAGATTTAAAATCCTCATGCGTTACTGTTCGTACAAGTAATAGCATAGAAAAGACTGTAACAAGATCAAGATCTCTAATGGCACTTCTGGAAGGTGAAGCAACATTCTCCTTTCCCTGCACTAGTGTTTTTCTCTAAAATATTAGATTAAGCAACAGAAAATTTACTACTTCATAAAGCCGTATCCCAGACGAACTCTGCACCCAGCAGATTCCCTGCAAACACACACTTTTATTGCGATGCAAGCAGGAGCGTGCCAAGCAGCAGCAATGAATTCCTGTAGAAAATAACCTCAGAAGGGCACAACAAAGCTCAGAACAGCCCAGGAATGAAGACTGCTGAAGGTGATAGACCACTGCACTAGACCTTTTTAGGTTTGGGAGATTTTCTCTTGGTTGATTGGGTGTTGGTTGGTTGGTTTGGGGGGTTTCTGTTTGTTTTTAAGATAAAACATCGTTGGCTTCCTAACTCAGCTCCAGAGATGGTACCACCTCCCTGTGAACCCAGAATACCAGTCACGTTCAGTCCTGGACCTTCTTTAACCAAAGCCCAACGAATAGTTCTGTAACTTCAACCAGAAGCAGAAAGTTGTGGTGCTAACCCTCCTGCAGCCATGCCAAAGGACACCTGAAAAATGTTGGGGAACAAAACACAAGTCGGCCCTCCACACGAGGTATACCGTTCTTAGGCTCTTCCTAGTCGTGCAGAAGCAAAGCCCTCTGTGAAATGGTGACTGCGAAGGACAAACACGACATGCTTCATCTCGCAGAAGAAATCAAATGGCCTTTAGGCTGAGAGCAAGAGCAGAGCCAAAAGAGGGAGTTTCAGACTTCCCTCCTGCGGCTCTGCCTGCGGACGGGGCAGTACGGCTCATCTTCAGGCTCAGCCACAAAGCTAGCCCTGCGTGTTGGAGATCAGGATGGCACTTTACCTGTCCAATGGTGCTGGAGAACTTGCAATCACGTAACACAAACCACTGCAAGGCAGAAAAAAACCTCTCACACAAAACTTAAACCTGGTATTTAAGAAAATAATTTAAAGCTTCTGAAAGCTTCGGCACTGAAGATCCATTAACTGCAGACATCTGTCAGCACATAGGTGTCTACACAAAGAGAATAGAGCATTATTGAAATAATACAGAGAGAAACCATTGCAGCAAGTACCCGCGGATCCAAAAGTTCATCTTCTTTAAGATAGAAACATTTGTACATCAGTTAATGCTTCCAAACGGGAGACGTTGTCCAATGAGCTTGATACTTTACTTGTGGAAAGGTTAACCAAAAGGTACTTCTCTTTCCGAGAAAGCCACTTGCGCTCTTTCAAGAGGTTTTCATGTGTATCCTGTCACCGGTACGCAGCCAGCATTTGATTCATTTGAAAAAGTTTTTAAATTACACTTCTGCCTGCAAAAAAGTGACCTCTTCAAACAGTACAAGTAGAGCTTTTGATTTTTCTTGTTTACCTCCAGTTCTACTCTGATTTTAACTATTTAGAGTACTGATAAATCTAAATAACCAAAAGCCCCGAAGCAACAAAGATCTGCCTGATGGGACAGACTGCTGCAGCCAGGCTGAGTCCGCAGCCCCGGCTGCGGAGAAGTCAACAGCGGTCTGGCTTTATGCGTATTTGCTCACTCGCCAGATAAAATGTTAAGCCTACAGTCCCTGGGAGCTGGAGACAGAAGGAGGGGGGAAAAAATTCCATTGGCACTTACCAGGTATGTTATTTGGTTTTATAAAGATGAGGAAGCAGACACCTCATCTACGAGAGCGATTCGTCAGGAGCCTTGCGGAGGCTGGAGTAGCGAGAGAACCAACGCTTCAGTGGTAATAAAATTAATAGTCTCACCAACCAACTCTGTTCTATAATTGGCTTTCATAAAAAGTCCCAAATGTAAATAAAACAAAGTATAAAGGAGCAGCCGAGCGTTCCTGCTCAGAAATAAGAGCACAGCTGGGTTTTGAAGAGCTTTGTATGACCATCTTCTCAGCCCTTCTGGCAGGGAGTTGGAGAGTTTGGCCGCTACCATGCAGAAACCAGCTAAAAATCACACGCTGATTTGAGATGCAGAGAAGAGCTTCAGACTGTCCTAAAGGCTCCTTTATCATTTTGATTCTCTAGGTGTCGTAACAAGTTTCACTGCAGGGTAAAACGTGTGAGGAAAGCCTAAAACCACCCATTTTTACCACGCAACTACTTTCTCTCCTGGCCAGCAGCAATACTGGGCTCCAAAAGCTCCATCCCGACCGCGCTCTGTGCTATTTCAGGGATTAAAATAAAGAGAGGGGAAACTGATGGGATTTCTCTGTAGCAAAGGGAATTCTTGCTTGATACAACAGTGGAATCCGTGACAAAATTGGACAGCCACAGCAGTGTAGCCTGTCACGCTGTAAAACAAGGTTTTCTACGTTTTCACAATACCAAGTGTAACACGCGCCCAAACCGCCTTCGTTTTAATTTCTATCACTTTGCCAGGAAGTTGGTGGCAAATTAGAGGCCTTGGCAGACAGGTACATATGGCTGGAAGGTCTCATGTGTCAGCAATATTCGATGTAGACGGCTGCTTAGCTTACATTTATTTGCACTAGAGAATAAGGCATCGGGCTCCTT